AGGCTCTCCCCTCAGGAACTGCAGGAACTCCTGGTGCCGCCTGGGCCGATGGATTGGACGCCCCAGCCCCTCCGTTCCTGCCCAGCCCCTGGGGCCGTGTCCAGTGGTGGCACTGCCAGCCCTGCAGGTGAAGTGGGAAGGGCCTTTCCAGGTCTGTTTGATCACATTTATAGCAGGTAAAGTTGCAGAAAAAGGACCTGGGGTCTGTTATTCTTGAGTTAGGAAAGCTCCTTTTGATTGGTGAGCAGAACAAAGTGGATCCTTCAGAGTTCCCATCCGTGTTTGTGTCTCAGCCTGTGTTAGGATTCAGGGCTGTCAGTTGTTGTCACTGAGGAGTCAAACTGTGCTTTTAATTATGAGACACTGGCCTAGTGGCCCAATGTGAAGGAAAAAAAGGTGGAATGATATCTGAGTGTTGAGATGTAACAAGGGCTAATCCTTTTTGCAGTGGGATGGAGCCTGGAAACTGCAGAGAGCTGAGCCCAGGGATTGAAAGGGACCAAGCAAGGGAGCTGAAGAAAGAAGGAAGAAGGGAAGTGAGGCAGCAGCCAAGCAGCACCAAGTTGCTGTGTAAGCAGGTGAGTTGTGTTGAGGTTCCTGAGGCAGGCCCTGAGGACTTTGAGGGCTCCAGACAGAGAAGACCTGGGAAGGCCCTTGGAAACCTTCTAAGGGTAGGTGTGTATGGTGATAAGTGTTGGAAAATGTCCTGAATGTGAAACAGCAATGCAGGGAAGGAAAATGAGCCCTCCTGTAATGGTGACCCCTCCCATGAGCTGCAGTGGAGACCCCTCCGTGTGCCCTTTGGGAGCTGATTGCCAGGACCCCCGTGGGGCTGGGATCATGGCAGGGTGTTGTAAGCAAGGAATACCTGGCTTCTAAAACTCATAAATTGAGTCTTAAAATGCCTCTTTGAAGAGCTGATTTGAGGCAGCAGAATTGCCCCCCAGGAGGGACTCTGTGCCTGCTCTCCCGTGGCTCCAAGGGATCTCTGGCCCTTCACGCCGGCACCGAGATTTTCTCGGGAAGGGCCTCAGATCCCCGGACCAGTCTGGGACACAGGCAAGATCCCCCTGCAGTTTAGGACCAACTTGGCCCCCTGTAGGGACAGTGCTGTGGGTGCCCCCCGGGTTGGGGCACCCCGAGGACTCCAGCGCGCACCGAAAGGATTCTTCGGGGAGATCCTCGGGGTGCCCGGCCCTGGGGCGCTCAAAGCAAGGTCCCTGCCATGGATTCAGGCATTGCTGAGAGTATCCCAGGGGTCCCTGTCCCTGCTAGACAGGGAGCTCTCTAATGGGCTGGAATTGGGTGATAAAAGTGGTGCTCCAAGTGCCAAAGAAGTGTGGGATTGGGATTAAGAAATGAGCAGTGAGGGTCCAATTGGCTGTTTTCTCTTGACTGTGTTGGTGAGAGCTGCAGGAGTGCCAGGTGTGTGTTCCAGTCCCCAGCATTTGGTTTGCACATGTCCTGGTCAGACACAGGTCCAACTTCCTCAGTACTAAACACAATAGAGGGAGAATGAAGGACTGGCAGTGTTCAGGTGATTGGTGTGACAGGGGTTAAACTGGGAAAACATTGGGTAATTCCTGAGTTTGTCTGTTTTCCAGACCTGTGCTAGGAAGAGATGGAGTGTAAAAGTTGAGGCAGAAATGCAATTGAAAACTGTGGCTATTGACACTGTAATTGCTGTAACTCAGTGTGTCCAAGCAGCAGCTCTTGTTGTGCAGGGAATAACTCCTGTCAGCAGCAAGGCCCCGACTGAAGTGGCAGCTGCAGCTGTTCCTGTGGTGTGGGCCAGTGGAACTGCAGGAGAGTGGAAGAGGGCAGAACCTGTAGGTATTACCCCTGATGTGGGATCTCTCCTGGTAAGGCCAAGCCAGTATCCTTTAAAATCAGAATGGCAGCTTGGATTGGTTGCAGGAACAGCTGAATTTGCTCCTCCTGGTTTGCTTGTAGAAGGTGAGGGCAAGAACCTGCCAAGGAAACCAATGGCCAAGGGGATTGATTAGTGCAGGACCTGAGAGAAGCCCCTGAAATGACAACCTGGAGTGGTTTCCAGGATTAGATTGCAAAGATGGCCTTTGCTGCATCTCCTTGAACAAGGAAAGCCAAGAAAGCTTTGCTTTTGCAGGAGAAACTGGGGCAAGTGGGCAGGAAGAAGAGAAGCCCCATGACTCCTCCCTGAGCCCCAGCCAGCCCCTGAACTGCCTCCCTGGGAATGGTGGGACGGGCTGGACTCTGGATTGCTCCCTCTGCATGTGTGGTAAGACTGTTATGCCAACTTTTCCAACAGCCTGTAAGCATTTGCTGCCTTGGCTAGATGGTGCAAGGGCAGCCTTTAAGCAGCTGAAGCCTTCCCTGAGGAGAGCTCTGGGTCTGCCAGATGTGTCAGAAGTGTTGGAAGCATCTTTGGTGGGGAGGGCAAAGAAAGGCCAAGGTGTGCAGTGACCCCCCTGAGAAGGGACTTTGAGTTAATGGCATCCCTGCAAGTGAACTTTGTGGGCTGTTCCCCCTGTAGGGCAGGTGACAGTCCCAGCTCCAGTGATGGGAAAAATAGTTAAAAGAGAGCCCCAAAAGCTGGAAATCCTGCTGGAGGCTCTTGGCAAAGAGAGTTTGCTGAGTTCCCCCTGACAGAAGGACAGTGACAGCTTTTGAGTGCTGGTAGGTCCTTTTAATAGATAGCCTTGAGTGTGTCCTTGTTGCCCCAGTAGGCCTTGTCCAACTCCCCATCTTCCAGGAGATAGACATATTGAAGTTTGAAATGCTCTTCCTAATCCTTTGTTGGCTTGAGGCTCTCCCCTCAGGAACTCCAGGAACTCCTGGTGCCGCCTGGGCCGATGGATTGGACGCCCCAGCCCCTCCGTTCCTGCCCAGCCCCTGGGGCCGTGTCCAGTGGTGGCACTGCCAGCCCTGCAGGGGAAGTGGGAAGGGCCTTTGCAGGTCTTGTGGATCACATTTATAGCACTTTTTGCAATTCACCTGTAAGGGCCTGGTTATCTTTTCTGCTTCTCCCATCTTGCCCAGGAGATGGAATTCTAGTGCTACAGAGCAGATGGCTCGTGGTGCTCCCAAAAGGAGCCTTTGTGCCTTCAGGGTAAGTTGTGTTGGCACTGGAGCTGTTGGGAGAAGCGGAGGGTTGTCAGGGAGAGGCCTGGAATGATGTTGCTGTGGCACAGATGTTGCTCCCTGGCAGGTTCTTGGGTTGGATTCCTTGGCTGCCACTTGGCAAGGCATGGAAGGGCCTCAGTTGTGTAGGGAAGCAAACCTGGAATGGGAAAGCAAAGGGGGGGAGATTCTGGTTTCAGAAAGGATCATTGTCTTCTCTTTCTGCAGAGACACTGAGCTGGTCCAGCTGTGGCAAGAAGAGCAAGTGTCCTGTGAAGGTTTGGAGCAGTCTGGAGGGTTCCTCGTGCCCAAAGGAGCCTGGAAGTGCAGCCCTGGAGGCATGAGGAATAATGACAAGTGTCCCATTTCTTGTGAAGCTCAACTGTGTAAAACATTTAGGGAGCTAAAATTCCACAGCCTTGAGCTGTTGGGTCCCAAAGAATAGTGGAGGGAGAGGCAGAGAATGCCCCTGCTGCTGGGGCTGAACTGTGTGCAGTGAGGGGGCAGGACTTGGCCCTGATGCCTGAGTGCTCTCCAGCCCCCCAGGCTGGATCCCAACTGTCAGCCCCTGGCTCCAGCCCTTGAGAAGATGGTGTTCCTGCCAGCCCAGCTGCTGGGCTGGTGGTCCTGGGGGCACCTCCTGCCCTGGCCTGCTGGGAAGGTGTTTGTGTTGCAGCTCAATAAAGTCCCTTTCAGTGGTGATTGTGTCACTTTGGTGTCAGTTCCTCTCCCCTCTTCCCCTGCCCCCGTGGCTGCATCACTGCCTTGTGCCTAAATGAACTCTTCCCCTGCAGCAGTTCCCTGCTGCTCTCAGAGAGGGTGGAGCTGAGGCCCCTGAGCCAAGGGAAAAAGGATCCATCCAAGGCAGGCCCGTGCTCACCCCCTGCCTTCCTCCAGCCTCCCGTGTTTCCAGTTCCCATCCCTGCTGGACACACAGCCTGTTCCCAAACAGCCCCCGTTCCTGTTCTCTCTCTGTGTCTCCCCTCCCAACTCCCCTCCTATGATCTCCAGCTGCCCAGGCCCCTGGTTTTGAGGGGCATTCCTGGGCTGCTGCTCCCCCATTGCTTAGAACTGAAGTGCCCAGAGCCCCAAGTGCAGAGAGGTCTGCAGGGAATCAGTGCCAAGAGCTGCCCGTGCCTGCCTGTGTTCCTGCAGTTCTCCTTCCTGCTCTCCCTGGGCTGGAGAGACCTGCCTGCCCTGGGTTTCTTGGAGCAGAGGGATGGGATTCCATTGGTGCAGAAGGGATGTTCACAGACACTCGTTTTCTGACAGGCAGTGCCATTTCCCTTCTGCCTTTCCCAAGTTTTCCCAAGTGCTGCCCAGCCTGGGGATCCGTGTGCTGGGACAGTGATTGGCAGGAGGGAGGGGAGCCTTGGCCTCACCTGCCCAGCTCAGGTGGGTGGCACAGAATTGGGGTGGGCTGGCAAGGCATGAACACATTTCTGAGTTCTGGAGTGCCTTGAAACCTTTCCCTGCCAGGTTTCTCTCCCTCATTTCCTGGGCTCCAGCATCCCAGGTGTCTCTTCCTTTGTCCAAAGTCCAGTGGCAGAGCATTGACTGACTCACAAGGGGGGTTTGGAATGAAAAGGGTTCTGTTCCAATGGGGCAAGGAATGCAGTAAGAAAGGTGAGCCTCCTTTTAGTGCCTGAAACAGATAGGAATGGAAATGCTGGAGAAGGCCACATTTTATTTTTTGTCCCCCTGGATTTTTCATGGCTCAAACTCTCTAGTGAGCAATTGAACAGAAGGGTGAAGGGCAGGAGCCTTTGACTTGCCCAGTGCCCTTAATTGCCTTGTTCTCCTGTCTTCCAGGCCAGGCCAAAGCCCTGATCCAGCCCAGCTCTGCCAAGTGCCCTGGGCTGGGAGCAGCCAAAGGCAAGAGGCTGCAGCCCCGCCGGCCGGGCTGGGGGCTCCTGGTGCTGCCCGTGGGGGGGGGTAAGTCAGAGGGACACCTTTCTCTCCTCCTGCTGTTGGCATTTGCTCCCTGGGCACTGGGTGTGTAAGGAAGGAGGGAGTAGCAGGGAAGGGGAGCGTTTCCAAACTGTCTGAATGTTGCCCCAGGTCTGGGATGGAGCAGCCATGGGGGTGGTTGGGTTTGGCCTGGGCCAGTCGGGATCAGCCATAAAGGACCCACCAGACCCTGAACCCTCACTGGACATGTCCAGCCCCTCAAGTTGTTAATTTTCCACAGAGGACAAAGAATTGGTACTTCCTTCTGATTTTTGCAGAATTTCCTTTGGGATGATCAACCAGGGAATGTATCAGTGCAAAGCATCTTTTTAGGTCTTTCTTTGTTTGTTTGTAATTTCCTCTCTGGCTTCAATGAGTTTGGTGTGCTCCTGTTAAGGAAGCAGCATGTTTTTATCTGGAAATTTGGGGTGGTTTGGTTTGTTTAGGGTGTTTTTTCCCCCACTGACTCGGGCCTTCCGTGCATAGTCCGTGTTGTCCTACAGGACTGTTCTGGTTCTGGGTCAGAGAGAGAGAAGGGAAGTGGCTTTTCCTCATCTTGGATGTTTCCAAGCAGAAGTGGGACATTGTCCTGCCCCTCCCCAAAGCACTGCAGGCACCTGGGAGTAGCTCAGGGCTGGCCCAGTTCTCTGAGACAGATCCGTGGGGGAGAGGTTTAAGTATTAATCACATCTCTGGTGTCCCTTGGTTGCAAAGATTGGGTCCTACAGTCCCAGGGTGTTAAGGAAAACAAGGAACTCCTGTTCTTCCTGGCAAACCTGCTGTTATTGCTTGGGCAGTCTTTGGGTTCTGTTGTCTGAGTTCCTGTCCAGGATCTTTCTAAGAGAACCTGTTAGAAATGCAGAGGTGGGGTTAGAATGTGGGTGTGTTCCCTACCAAACTGATGGACTGGAGTGATGAGTGCTCTCAGCCCAGGGTATTTCTTACTATTGTGTGGCTTTCCCTCAGCTGTGGGTGAGGAATTGTGCCAGCAAGGCCTGTGTGCCCGTGGGTGTCTCCCGTGTGTGTCCGTGGGGCAGGGCTGGGACAAGGACTCGTGCAGGGACCCAGCTGGCACTGGAGCTGCTGCCATCCTGAGCCACTGCCAAGGGCTGGGGAGAGACCATCTGGGAGGCTGTTGCCAGGGTTCCCTTGGGAGCTGGATCTGCCTCCAGCTGCAGCAGCCAGGGGAGGGTTCTTCCTTGTGCAGCCCAGTGGCTTCTGCTCAGGCTGGCCCAGAGTGGGGCTGGGGCAGGTTCTCCAGGGAACTGGAGCCAGCCCTGAACGGGGCTCTGGAGAGCAGGAGCTGCAGGGACTGAGGTTTGCAAAGCTGGGCTGAAGTTTGTCAAAGCAGCAGAACATTCTCATTCCTGTGGGTCTGTGGAGTCCGTGTTGGTGCCCAGGAGAACTGGGTCAGACTGGGCTTTGTGCTCCGAGAGCTGCCCCCCTAAATGTGGCAGGCTGTGTGTGCTGGCAATGAAGTGCTGTCCCCAGAGGCTGATGGTTTCTGTCTCCAGGTGTGCCCAGGACGCTGCCAATGCCCAGGGATCTGCTCTGGGTCCAGGCTGTCCGTGCTGGAGGGCCCTGGTGGCTGCAGTCCCTGAGCCCGCAGAGACAGAGAGAGCCCCGGCCCGAGGGGCCTTTGGCCCCTTGTCCTGAATTTGGGGTGAGCCTGGGAGCGTGTGGAGGGTGAGAATGAGGGCTGTGCTTCCAGTGCATCATCCCTGGGAAGATCCTGTTGTTCCAGAGCGCTGGGGACAGTTTGGGCTTGGCAGCTTCAGAGCTGGGACGGAGCAGCCCCTGGAAAGAATCAGGAGAGTGGAGGTTTGTCCCAGTGGTGCTTTCACACCCCACTGGACAGGCTGGGCTTTGTGTTTGAGGTTGTCCTGTATTTGCTCTGCAGATAAGGGGCCCTTCCCAATTCAGCCCAGCAGATCCCAAGGGCTCTGACAGGAATATTTGTTCTTTCCTTCCCTTTGGGATAACTTCATCTCCAGACTGCCATGAGCAATTCCTTAATTTCTGCTGGAGAAAACCAAGTGTCAGAGGCAGTTTGCCAAGGAGGCCAGAAGTGTCTTTGGAGCAGAGAGTGCTGCCAGCTGCGTGTGCCTGTCCCCAGCCTGGCACTGCCCACAGGGACACACTGGGCACAGACCATGAGAGGGAACAAACCCACTGCCTGCCAGAGGGTTTGTCCTGGGCCATCAGGCCTTGGGCAGGAATTGCACTGGGCAACTCCATCAGCTGCTCTTCCCTCCCCCACCAAGCCCCATCCCCTGGGCATTAATGACGTGCCCTGTGCCCAGCACTCACTGTTCACCCAACTGAAACCAGAGCAGGGCTTGCTTTGCTTGGAACGACTTATAGTAACTTTAAAACAAAATAAATCACTTTTTTTGTTCTTTTTTTTTTTTCCTTTTAGATGCTGGAATTGCCTCTCTGGGTGTGTGCTGAGCTCTGGCTGCAGGGGACTGTCAGGCCTTGGTGGCTGTGAGTTCCTGTTCTTCTCCCTGGGAAACTGGAAAGAGTTCTTCATTAGATTGCAGAAATGTTTTCTGGAGCCTGTCCCCTTCTTTGTGCCTTTTGCTGACAGACCTTCTCTTTCTGCCTTTGCATGTACAGCTGTTCCCTGCTGTCCATTCCCTGGCCTGAATTCCTTGCAGCTCCCAGCTGGGGAAACCTGGGAGAACATGGCAGGGACAGAGGTGACATTTGTAGCTGCCAACTTGGGGTAATTTCGAGGGGCCCCAGCAACTGTTTCTGAAGGAAAAGGTGAGGTGCTGCAGAGGGGAGGGAGGTGGCATTTTGGAGGGGTCCCACTGAGGGGGAGTGGAGAGCCTGGGGCTGGAGTGTGAGTTCTTAAACAGGGAAGAAGGGAAGGATGCTTGGGAGGGAAACACTCAGGGAATGTGTAGGGATGGAAGGGAAATTTGGGGCGTCAGGAAGAGAAAATGGGTGATGTAGAGGAAGGGAAATGTTGGGTGTAAGAGTTGATCTCATCTGTAGAGGACAGAATGACCATTTAGAGATAAAGTGAGGCAGTGAGTGGTGGGCAGGTAGGGAAAATTTGTGTGTGTAAAATTTCAGGTCACCTGTAGCAGAGAGGATGTACCTCCTGCTGGACACTGAGGCAGTCAGGGGTGGGCAGGAGGGGAAACCTTTGGGGGTAAAACTTGAGGGAACGTCCAGGGCAGAGAGTGAATATTTTGAAGGATAAATGAGGTGCTCAGTGGTGGACAGCTGGGGAGTGTTTTAGGGTAAACTTGGGGTAGCCCACAGGGTAGAGAGTGAACATGTATTTGTACAGAGGAGCTGACCTACCCCTACATGTGAGTAGGTAAGGAGAATTTTGGGAGTAAAATCTGGGCAATCTGTAGCAGAGAGAATGAATACCTTGGTGTGAAGTGAGACAGTCAGTGTCGGGCAGGTAGGGAAGATTTCTGTTTGTAAACTTTGAGGTCAGGTGGAGCAGAGAATGTACATCTTGAGGTAAACTGGGGTAATCATTTGTGGACTCATAGGGAAAATTGGGGGGGGAAATATCTGAGGTAATCTGCATGGTAGAGGATGAATATTGAGAGGTGAACATGAGGTACTCAGTGGTGGACTTGTAGGGAAAATTGTGGGGGTCAAATCTGTGGCAATGTGCAGCAGAGAGAAGGAACATTTTGGAACAAAGTGAGGCAGTCAGTGGGGGAGAGGCTGAGAAATTTCTGAGGGTGAAACTTGAGCCAGTCTGCAGGGCAAAGAATGAATATTTGGAGGTCCAAAAGAGGTAATCAGGAGTGTGCAGTAGGGAAGACTCTGGGGGTTAAAAAGGAGGTAATCTCTGGGGGAGAGAATGACTCTTTTGTGTTCAAGGAGAGGTAATCAGGAGTGGGCTGAAAGGGGAGATTTTGGGGGTTAAGAAGGAGGTTCATTCTCTCCAGGGCAGGGAATGAACACACTGAGGTAACCTGAGGTGATGAGTGGTGAGAGACACAGAAATCTGTGTGTGTTAAAGTTCAGGTGATCTGCTGGGAAGAGAAGGAACCTGTTGAGGTAAAGATGAGGCACTCGGTGGCAGACAGGTGGGGAGAGCTTTGAGATAAGCCTGAGGTGTCTGTGGGGTGCAGAATGACCCTCTGTAGGTACTAAGGAGCTGGTCAGACGTGGACAGGTAAGGCAGATGTTGGGAGTAAAATGTGGGGCAATCTGTCCCAGAGAGAATGAATCTTTTGGGGTAAGGTGAGGCAGTCAGTAGTGGGCAGGGAGGGAAATCTTTGTTTGTCAACCCTGAGGTAATGTGCAGCAGAGAGAATGCACCTCCTGGGGTAAACTGGGGTAATCAGTAGTGGACAGGTAAGGAGGTTTTGGGGGAAACTTTGAGGTAATCTCTGTGGCAGAGGACAAATCTTTGGAGGTAAAAATGAAGTAATAAGTAGTTTGCAGGCAGGGAAAACTGTGAGGGTAAGTCTGGATGTCACCTAGGGGAGAAAAGGAGCCTTTTGAGGTCCAGTGAGGCAGTCAGGGGTGGGCAGGGAGGGAAAATTTGTGTTTGTAAAATCAGAGGTCATGTGGAGGAGAGAGAATGCACCTCCTGGGCTAAACTGGGGTAAACCTTGCGGACCTGCAGGGAAAATGTGGGGGGTAAAACTTGTGGGAATCTGCAGGGCAGAGAGTGAATCTTGTGAGGTGAAAATGAGTTCCTGGGTGGTGGAGAGGTGGGGAAAGTGTTGAGAGTAAACTGGAGGGGATCTGCTGGGTGGAGAATGAACATCTTGATGTAGGAGTGAGTTGCTGAGATGTGGAGGGGTCGGGAAAATGCAGTGGGTCCAGTGTGAGGTCACCTGTAGCAGAGAGGATGTACCTCCTGCTGGACACTGAGGCAGTCAGGGGTGGGCAGGAGGGGAAACCTTTGGGGGTAAAACTTGAGGGAACGTCCAGGGCAGAGAGTGAATATTTTGAAGGATAAATGAGGTGCTCAGTGGTGGACAGCTGGGGAGTGTTTTAGGGTAAACTTGGGGTAGCCCACAGAGTAAAGAATGTACATGTATTTGTAGAGAGGAGCTGATTACATGTGGGTAGGTAAGGAGAATTTTGGGAGTAGAATCTGTAGCAGAGAGAAGGAATACCGTGGGGTAAAGTGAGGCAGTCAGTGTTGGGCAGGGAGGGAAAATTTGTGTTTGTAAACTTTGAGGTCACGTGGAGCAGAGAGAATGTACACCATGAGGTAAACTGGGGTAATCAGTTGTGGACATATGGGGAAAATTACAGGGGTAAACCTTGAGGGAACGTCCAGGGCAGAGAATGAATATTTTGAGTTCAAACTTTGGGGGTTTTGAACGAGGTTATCTCCAGGGGAGAGAAAGGACATCAGGAGGTCAACTGAGGTAATCAGTGGTGGCCAGGTGGGGACATTTAGGGCAGAAATCTCTGAGGTAATCTCCAGGGTCCAGAATGAATCCTGAGAGGTGCAGAGGAGGCAATCAGGAGTGGACACCACAGCAGGCCAAGGGAAGGTTCTGGGGGTAAAATGTGTGGCAGTGTCTGGCAGAGAGAATGAACATTTTGGGATAAACTAAGGCAGTCATCAGTGGACAGGGAAAACTTGAGAAACCCTCCAGGGTGGAGAATGAATATTTGGAGGTCAAAAGGACGTAGTCAGTGGTGAGCAGGTAGGGAAAGTTTGGAGAGTAAATTTGAGGTGGTCTGTAGGGTAGAGCAGGAACATATTTAGGTATACATGAGGGGATCAGCTGTGGAGAGGTAGGGAAAATTTCGGGTGTCAAACTTAAGCAAATCTGCAGGGCAGAGAATGAATATTTGGAAGTCCAAAAGAGATAATCAGGAGTGTGCAGGTAAGGAAGACTTAGGGGGTTAAAAAGGAGATGATCTCTAGGGGAGAGAATGACTCTTTTGTGTTCAAGAAAAGGTAATCAGGAGTGGGCTGGAAGGGGAAACTTTGG